GAAAGAGAAAGATGGAAAACTTCTAGCGTTTTTGAGCTCCCCTGGAAAGAGAAGAGACATTATGGGTTATGATATTCTTACTGCTTGATAATTTTAATGGGTTATATATTCTTATATATGGAATAATACTCCCTCCGTTCCTTTAAACTCTTCCACTTTTGACTTTGGGTAAAAATAAGGAAAGTGTAATTTTGGTTGACTTTCCAATTTTGCCCCTGATGTGATGGGTAAAAGTAAGATGTGATAGTTTGGTTATTAGAAAAAAAGTATGATGTGATAGGTAGGGTATGAAAAAGTAAGGGTAAAAGTGGTTTTTTAATAGAAAGTGGAAGTGTTTTAGGGAATTCAAAAAAAACGAAAGAGGAATGGTTTTGTGGAACGGAGGGAGTATAATCTGAATTCCAACGGTTCAAGAAAAGCGACGGGAAGAAGAAAAGTAAAGAAACTTCGAAGGAGCTTATATTTTTGATCACCTAATAAAACTAGACTACAAAAACTATATAATAATAAATAATTATATAAATAACCTACTCCACCATCGGTAACATTCCTCTCCACTTAGAAAATCATCTTGTCCTCAAGGTAGAGGCTCACACTCGTACTTTAATACGTGAGAAAATTTTTTGACTCAAAGAGAAAGTTCACCTTGTGACCATTCTGAAAGTAGCTTGCGTACTAGGGTGGAGCAAAATAAGTATGACATACATGCAAACATTGGTCAAAATGCCTCTACAAATATTGGGTGCTCCAACCTCATAACCTCATCGAGATCAAACATCATAGTCACATGAGGCATAAATGAAACAAGAAGCTGATGAGTGTCTCTCTCGATGACAACTCTTACACTATGTTTGGTTCAAGGAATTTGGAAGGAAAAGAAAAGAAAATGATTTTCTTTCATTTTTCTCACCAAAATGGAAGGAATTTGGTTTTCCCTCCACTTGGTACATTTTGCCTTCTCATTTTCTTTTCCTTCCACTTTTCCTTTCTTTTCCCCTCTAACCAGACAAGAAAAATGATATTCCACTTCTTTTTCTTTTCTTTTCCCTTTCAAATTCCTTGAACCAAACAAAGTGTTAGAGATTTTTTCTTTAAAAGACCTATTGAGCCCGATAAACTTATTGGTGCATAAGAATCATGAGATGAAGGATCACACCCGTACGACGGCTCATCATCTCTATCAGCAACACCATCATCTTCAATCACAGTGTTAGACCTGCCACCATCTTCTTCTTTGTTGTAAGATTCAACGCTTGATTCCTCCAAAACACGAGCAGGGTGTGCGATTTCTTTTTCAAATATTTGGAAGGCCATGTCTTCAGCCTTTTTTAGTATCCTCTATAAAAGAATATACCATGAAGTGGAGTAAATTGATGCTTGAATTTTTTTGACAAAATTGTCCCAACCATCAAGGAGGCTATTGTTCAATCGCCAACAAAACCAATCAGCGGTGGAGCCCTCTAACATTGATGCTACACGGTGCAAACGATCAGCCAAAGAGATCTCATAAAACTAGAAATACTCACATACTTTGTGTAACAACCCAACCCAAATAACCTAAATACAAGGGTCAGCGAACCGGGTTGCTATCATATTGGTATCCAAACACACTATGTTTTTTTCAAAACATTTAAAACAACAACTTTGACTTTAAATAAAAATCCACCAGAGTAATTAAAACATGACTGGAAGCTCTAGTCAACATTCAAAACATAACTTAGAAATCAAGCTCGTAAAAGTAACAAGTTATTTGGAAATAAAAATTAGTTCAGAATCCTAAAAATGCCCACGTACATCTCCTCCTCTTCATCCCCCCCCAGATTCGGTTCAAGTTCATCTTGACCCTGATTACCTGCGTGTAGCAAAATAAATACACTACACGCTCAGCAATTACGCTGAGTGAGAAATATCTAACATTCGGTCATAAATATAAACAAACTTGCTATTTCACATCACCATAGGATATCATGCACACAACATAGCATAAACATCATCACACATATTTCATAACAACATTCATCTTTCACCAAATATAGGTATTACAGTATTATTGCTTTAGCCCCTAGCTTATATTCATTTCAGGCTAATAACAAATTCTAGGCTAAGGATTATTTATTCATAACTTACATAGGGAACCAACGAAGGAGTTCCTCGTTGGGTAGGTGACATCTCAATCTCCATTAGAACGGCAGTTCACAGACCCATGTACATCCTATTTACCTGAACAGTCATTGGACCCAGCAGGTTCCACATGACTCTAACCTCTTTATACTCAAGATATACTTTCCCACTATTCTGTTCAGGTCAGCCTAGAGTTCTTTTAGGTTGACTAGTTCCATCATTTAATTAATTCCTCAATGTTATCAACATAGCATTCCTCAAACATGATACACACATCGGCCTAACATTGAGTCTAAACACCCATACTTACCGTCATACAACCTACAAGTCTTGCAACATTTAGAATGAGAAATGGCCTGTGATGGTAGACTTCTGTCTTCGGGCGGTAGTGAAGTATCGTTCAGTACCTCATCAACGTTGGCAATGAAAAATATCCTATGACGATAGCACAGTACCTCTTGGCGATACTTACCTACTGTCAGCAGCAGAATCAACCCGGTGCAGCTACACCGCTCGGAAGAACTATATATTATTCCAAAGTTTCAACATTGATCATGTTCAATAGGCTCCACAAAACCCACACATAGTGCATACAAGTCCAACGATAATTCAACGCCTAAAAACACGTGTTCTGCCCACTTAATTCATCAATAACCCTAAAATCCAAATACATGAGTCTCACATATATCAATCATAACGATACCATGAATGTAAGTTTCAAACCTATATGCATTGCCTAGTGTTTGATGTCCTTGTACTCACTTCGAATTCACAAAAGATTAACCAATGAAGAATAAAAAACTTAACGGACGGCGGTGATGGCGGTTCAGCGATGGCACAGTGAAGCTTCCTCTTTTCTTCTTCTTCTTTCTTGCCTTTTTTTGCTGCTAGTTGATAGAGGAACTCTAGAGAGAGAGAGATGTGAGTTAATCCAGCATATGTTTGAGTAGATATGGCACGTACGGTGAGTACTTATACTCACAGGGTCTCGTTCTCCGTAATTAATTAACTTACCTCGGTTAAAATATATTTTTCGGGTCAACTTGCTCTGAATTCAGATCCGTGTGCACAGTTGGATTCGTCTCGTCGAACCCTATACAACGGTATAGTATTTATAATTAATTGATAAGTTTTCATAATTAACTTTGGGTCTGTCTCAGTACTTAATTAACTATTTTTAATTAATTAATTCTGATAGGCGATTTTCGGGACGTTACACTTTGGCTAACCACTGCAAGGATTCGGTTCTATCACACTTTGGGAGCAACCTTAGCGGAGAAAAGGGAGAACCAATGAGATTCCATACAACACTCATCATATTTGCTCTATAAGCTTGTAATTCTAAACAATTTGACATGGCACAATTGGGGCCGGAGACCACGAACCAAATCTTGTATTGAGTAAGAGAGTTCTACTTCAAACGCATATAAGTCAGAACCAGAATATGGTTATTTTGCAATATGACGGAATGACGAGAGCTTTTTCATAATTTCATCCACGTGGTCATAAGCTACACACTTTCGTGAAATTCAACTTTTCCATAAAAAAAATTAAACATTCTCCAATAAACTAAAAAAGATAATCCCATGCACAATTGGTCTTCGTAATAATAGACGCCATCAAGTCAAGATGACAAAAATCAAATTACCTCAGCACAATTGGGTCAAGTTGTGGCTCGAATTACCTCTGTTGTTGATTTGCGCAATTTGGCAGCCTGGGCAACTTTGGCAATCAGTTCAAATTTGTTGAAAACCTTGGCACCAATTTCCCAATTTGTGTGAAGTTTTCCCAACCAGATGGATTGCGGCGATTATTCCATAAACTTTTTTTTGGCGAGTTCGAGGAATGAAAGCACCAATTAATGTGAATATTGTACAAGTCGTAGCGGATAGATCGAGAAGAACTTCAAGCGTCTTCAAACTCCAGAAAAGAGAGACATAGAAAAGAAAAAAAACTCTGAGCATTTCCTGGGCTTCCAAGAAAAGAGAAACAATTTCACCATTAAAATTTTTTTATATAAAAAATTTGGAGAGAATTGATAATAAATCAAGAGATACTTTGTTTTATTGCAGACAAGGGGCCTGTAAGAGCATGAAATTGCATTTTTTATTTTAATTTTTTTTAAATTGAATAATGGTGGGATTAGTGATAGAAAGTGTTTATCTTGTTCTAAAAGTATTGACCAAGTATTTTTTATGAAAGTGTTAGACATATATGGAAAGAAGTCTAGTTATAGCAGAATTGTTATTTATGTTAGTTTACTTATTTGGTGAATCCTAGTCCATGTAGGGATCCTCACCTATATAAACATCTATGTACACAATTATTCCTTTAGAGTGAATTCATAAATCAACATGGTATCAGAGCTCCAAGATCCTTTTTTCTCTCCTTTCTTGCTGCGTTAATCATAAAAAAAAAACGGCAGAGCCGAGCTCTCCTACCAGGCCGTGCACAGCCATGGCGTATGTCTCTTCTGATCTTATGGATCGTCTCCCTACGTGGCAGATTTCCATTCTGCAACGGATCTGCTACGAAAGCTTTCCGTCGCAGAAAAGTTGTGGCAGATTTAAAATCTGCGACGGAATTTAAATTCCGTGGCAGATCTGCGACGGACCTGCAACGGAATTTCCCTTTTTTTCATCGGATGTAATCTGCGACGGAAATTAAGAACCATTGCAGATCTGCGATGGAGTTAGCAACGGACACCTTCGTCGCAGATATGTGACAGAAACAGCAACAGATGGTTCCGTCGCAAATATCTGGATGATGAACCTGAATTTTTCTGTTTTTAGGCATTAGATACTAAAATGGGAGGCAAAACACATTCAATTTTCACACACATTGATAATTCAAAGCTAGATTAATGAAAACTTCACGTGCAAATGTAACATAGTTCATTATATTCTAATAATGAATATTAAAGTGTTAGTGTCAAGTGTTTAAAATGGAGGAAGCTAAGGTCGTAAAGGTCTCAACAAATCTCGAGCTGTCCTGCACCTCCTGTTCCATCATCATCGCCTCATCGAGGAAGGATACCACCATATAGCTTCTTTATCTCCTCTTGAATCGTCAGTGACAAGGTCGAGGTTAGATTATCACGGCCCACGACTAGCGAATACCGTATTTCTTGGTCGGTGACTTGCAGCCCTTTCTGTCTAGCCTCCTCGCTCAGTTCGAAGAATTGAGCCTGAACACAAGTTTTTTGCTTCCACCTATCAACAAGTACAAGAGAAAAAAAATACAAAATTAGAAGAAATAAGTAAACAAAAAATACTTCAAAAATTCCATATATTTAAAACAGAATGCATCAAAAAGTTGCTAATGAGACTCCATGAATACAAAAATAAGATTATAAATCAAGAAAAAAGTTGCTGATTTTTTAAAAAGAATGCAAATCAGATCAGGTCTTTTTGCAAATTACATACATAATGCATCAAAATCAACATATGAACTTCATGTTATGCTTCAAGAATCTGCCCATGTGCTTTATATTGAGATTAGAGTTCATATTCAAGCAAATAAGCACTTCAAAGGACACAAAATCAGCATTAAAACAAACCTAAATTTTGGACTTGAAGGCAGTTCCCTTGAAAGCTTGATCTTGGTTTTCCTCTTCATTAAAAATGATGGTTTTCTAGTGGATCTTGCAACTTGCACTATGATCTACTCACACAAACATCAAAAGACATACATAGTATTCACTTTCACACTTTACTAGCCAACAAAGAGAAGGGGAACCGTGGGAGATGGACGCAAAAGAGTTACATGTTCTCCGGGAAGAATAAAACATTAGCATGGATTATATTATTAAAGAATAAGATCATGAATCACATACTCTAAATTGTAGCTGAATCTCCTTCTTATCAAATGATTTCCCCAATGAGGATGTCATGCCCGACACGAACAAGCTTATACATGGAAGCACCAGTCATTCCATCAGCAACAACAACTGGGCCTAACACTTGCACAGAGAGGTTAATGCTAATAGGGAAACTAGAAAAAACATGTAGAGTTGTTACATGCTGATTAGAACATAGTGCAGTTACATTACAAGAAGACAAGGCTAAAATACATCAAATGAAACATCTAAGTATGATTAAAAGGTCCTCGGAGTCGTGGTTATCGCCACCTATGTCCTCGTGATCTTCAGTACCCTTCTGCCACCTCATTAAACTAAGAATATCAACCACATTCATTACCAACCAACAATAGCAACAATAAAGGCTAAGAAACGAAAATCTTATTCAACCAAAAACAACAATCATTTAACTACAGATATCAACCTATAATGCACTCAATTTCACAAAATTGAAGTAAATTTTACCTAAATTCTCATTAAATGTTAAATTAACAAACACAATTTCAACTAACATTACAACTTAAATGCTATCAATTTCACAAAAAACTGATGCAACTTTTACCTAATTTCATGTCAATCTCAACTCATATTCACACAATCTCAACTAAATTTCACCAAAAATGAACTCAATTTCAGACAAACAAATTCAATTTCACCAAAAATTACAATAATAATAAATTATATAATAGTAAACAAAAATACCTTATTTTGAAATTCGCGGTAAAGAGGACCAGCGGGGAAGACTCGCGGTTGAGTGGCGGCGGCGGCGAGTGGTGAGGAGGGAACTCGGTCGAGGGCGGCGGTGGCTGACGGTCGGGGGATCTGGCGTGGCGTGGACGGCTGACGGTCGGGAGATCTGGCGTGGCGTAAGCTAACACTGGCGGCGGCGGCGAGCGCTGGCGCAGCGCGACGAGGAGGACAGCAAGGGAAGGCGCTGCTGGACGGCTGACGGGGGTTAAGGGATGGCGAGTGAACTGATTTCGATTTTAAGTTGTGAGACTGAGATCCCGATTTTTATTAAAAATCCGCGACGGAACATTGCCCGTAGCAGGTTCCGTTGCAGATCTGTGACGGAATAATTAAACAGTCGCAGATATTTTGTGAAAAATTTGACCAACTTGGTCGTCTTCAGATTTGCGACAGTACCCTATTTTCCGTTGCAGATCTGCGACGGAATATGAAATTCCGTCGCAGATTACTTTCATTTTTCATAAATAATTCATCCGTCGCAGATTCGTTGCAGATCCGCTACGGAAATAGGTCCGTAGCAGATTTCCGTTGCAGACCAGACAAATTCTTGTAGTGAACGATACAACTCTCTTTCACGAACTCATATATTTCAGTTGAAGGAGCGTCTCCATGGTGTTACTAAGGGGACCGATTCGATGCAATCTTATTTGGACACGGTTCTCACTATTGTGTCGTCTCTCAAACTGGCTCATGAAGAAATCTCTGAACAAGATATTATCCTTTGTGTTCTACGAGGTCTACCGGCCGACTATGCCTCCCTCAAGCAAAATATTCGCACCAATATTGCCACCGTCACCTTTAATCAGGTCTCCTCTTGGTTGTTGTCTGAAGAATTCAATTTATCTTTTGAGAAAAAATTGTCTCTTGGTGACTCCGGCTCTACTTCGTCTGTTAACATTTATAATGCTCTCTACACCAACTCCGGACGAGGCAATGGTCGGGGTCGTGGCCGTGGACCACAGCGAGGCCGAAGAGGGCCTTACCGCGGCAATCATCCCGGCGGCATAGGCGGCCGGCAGCCGCAGTACCGCGACGACGCACGCGGCAGAGGAGCTGGCCGGGGGTCCATCACGTGCCAACTCTGTGGGAAGCCTGGCCATGCGGTCTGGAATTGTTGGCACCGCTACGATGAATCATATGCTGGTCCTCCGCAGGCGTTTTATGCAAATCAATCTGCTGAATCTAGTTCGAATTGCCATCTGGACACTGGCGCAAACACCCATGTTACGCCTGATCTGTCTCGGCTGCATACTTTGACTCCGTACCATGGCACCAATTCCATCACAACTGCAGGAGGTAACACCTATCCCATTGACCATACAGGCTCAGGTATACTCACCACCCCTCTCCACACTTTTACCTTAACCAACCTTCTCCATTCCCCTCACATTAACTCCCATCTGCTTTCAGTCCATCAATTTACTAAAGATAACAATTGTTCTCTTCTTTTTACCTCTAAGGATTTTACGATTCGGGACAATCTCACCAACCAAGTTCTTTTCAAGGGCCCTTGTGAGCGTGGTATGTACTCCATACCGACATCTCCCTCGTCTCTGGTAGTCAACTCTGTCAAAGTCACTCCGTTTCAATGGCACTGTCGTCTTGGTCATCCCTCAGTTTCAGTCACTAAGTCTTTATTGTCTCAATTAGGTTTTAAATTTCAGCATCTTGATCACTGTAATTCTTGTTCTATTGCTAAGTCTCATAAACTCCCCTTCCCTGTGTCT